TTACATACAAGCACCCTCTTCACAAAATGAAGTGCCTGTTGTCAGCCCAAGGAGGGGGGACCTCATGACACTCAGGAGATGGAAGGCACACTTAGCAGGAGGGGGACGACCTGGGTCAGCAAACCTCAGAGAGGCTATTTGACAGTGTCCTAGTGTTTATCCTTTAACACATGTGAAGGACCTAACAATTTGTGGAGACCTTCACTTTCTCTACGTGTGCATGTGTGCGTGCTAAGTCATTTAAGCTGTGTCTGACTCTTTTTAACCCTGTGACCTGTATCCTGCCAGGCTCCTCTGTCCATGGGACTCTCCAGGCAAGAATACTGGAGTGGGCTGCCATGCCCTCCTCCAGGGGATCTTCCTGACCCAGGGATCGAACCTGCTTTCTAAGTGTGTTGTTGTTCAGTTGCTCAGTCGTGTTTGACTTTTTGTGACCCCATGAACTGCAGCACGCCAGGCTTCCCTGTCCTTCACGATCTCCCTGAGTTTGCTCAAACTCACGTCCATTGAATCCGTGATACCATCCAATCATCTCGTCCTCTGTCGTCTCCTTCTCCTCCTGCCCTCAATCTTTCCCAGCATCAGGGTCTTTTCCAATGAGTCAGCTCTTCACATAAGGTGGCCAAAGTATTGGAGCTTAAGCTTCAGCATCAGTCCTTCCAATGAATATTCAGGGTTGATTTCCCTTAGGATTGACTGGTTTGATCTCCCTGCTGCCCAAGGGACTCTAAGTGTAGGGCTGTCTTATTGAAACGCTTCACCTCACAGATTAGGACTTGAACCCATGTGCCAGGATTTGAACCTAGCCAAAACCCAGCTTGGGACTAACCCACGTGGCTGGGCCAAAACCCACGGTGTTGCAATTGAGATCACACATGTGGTTTCTGGACCTAATGAAGCTCAGGTTCTCGATTCTCATCACAGAAAGAATTCAGTGACAGACAAAGTGATAAGTAATAAGTGGATTTACTTAGAGAGAAACACAGTCTGTCTTTAGAGTGTGGGCCACTCTAAAGACAAAGAGCAATCTCTAAAGGCAAGAGTGGCCTTCAAATGTGGTGTGGTTAGCTTTATGGGCTGGGTAACTTCATAGGCTAATGAGTGGGAAGATTATTCCAACTATTATGGGGAAGGGGCGGAAATTTCCAGGAATTGGGCCACCACCCGCTTTTTGGTCTTGGAACCACCTGTGGGTGTGTCATTTATCTTGCTGGTGTGCTACAGTGAGCATATACTGAGGCTCAAGGTCTAATGGAAGTCCATTTGTCCATCATGGGCCTATTTGGTTCTAATCAGTTTATGTCACACATTCGGACTATGTTATTCTTTTAAATTTTGTGTCCTGCCCTCTTCCCTCCTGTTTCATTATTAAGGAGAGGCTGATTAAGCAGAGGCCAATAGGGAGTATTGGCCAGCTTAGAATCTTCATGGGGAAGTAAACAATGAGAATGCAAAGGCAGATTGGATGTGAAGAAGTTTCCAAGGGTGAACATGTAGCCAAGGAGGCCACAACCTTGCTTCGTATTACATTGAGGAAATAAGAGCAATCTGAAAAGAATGTCCTTGTGTTCCCACTTCCAGATCTGCCAGCTGGCCTGCAGTATACCTCACCATACTGCCTCCCTCCCGAAAATCAATGTCATCCATGTCACTGTCTAAAGCCACGCAGCCACCATGCCCCATAGTCCACTGCCTCTGTCTCTTCCTGTTGTCTCCTCTCTTTCCTTTTACCAAAATCTCCTGACAGTTAACTAATTCCTATCACAAAATGCTATAATATATCCCATCTCAAAAACCAAAACCAGTATTTCCCTAGTGGTCCAATGGTTAAGACTGCTGGGGGCCTGGGTTCAATCACTGGTCAGGAAACTGAGATCCTTTGTGCCAAAAGTATGGCCAAAACTTCTCCATATTCTTCCTCACTTTCCCATTCTTCATCCATTTCTTCCTCACTCTCACTCCCTTAATTCACTCCTGTCAGACTTTTACCACTACCATCCACTGACAGCAACCCCGTCAAGGTCACCCCCGACCTCCACCTTATAAAATCACTGGTCATTTCGCAGTCCTCACAGTGCTTGGTCTCCTACATGGTTTGCCGAAATCTGGCCCCCCCGTCCCTCTTGAAACTTTTGTTAAGTGAAAGTAATTTTATCTTATGAGTTACTTTTCTTCTCTTCCAGACATCTAAATATGGGCATGGTAAAGGGCTCTACCCTATCTACAGTCACTTTCTAGGTGCATTTAGTTCCATGGCTTTAAATACTATTTACATGTGTTTGTCTACCTAGTCTTGAAACTTTAAATGTCATTTTGAAATCATTTACCTCAGACATGGGATTTGAACCCACATGACTGGGACCTGAAGCCAGCCAAAATTCACAGTACCTGGTTTCAGGTCCTAATGAAGCTCAGGTTCTTGATGTCTCATTACAGAAAGAATTCAGTGAGAGACAAAGTAATAGGTAAGAAGTGGATTTATTCAGACACAGAAAGAAGCACACTCCACAGACAGAGTGTGGGCCATCACAGAGGGTGAATGCGGTGGCTGTGAAATGTGGCATAGTTAGTTTTTATAGGCTGGGTAATTTCACATGCTAATGAGTGGGAGGACTATTTCAACTATTTTGGGGATGGGGCAGAGATTTCCCAGATTTGGGCCACCGCCCACTCCTTGGTCTTTTATCAGTGACTTGGGACTGTCATGGCACCTCTGGGTGTGTCATTTCACTTGCTGACTCAGAATCAAGGTCTAGTCTTGTCTACCATCTTGGTCCCATTAGATTCTAATCAGTTTATGTTATGTCCTTGGGCTATGACATTCTTTCAAAAGTTGTGTCCAGCTGTCTTCCCCCTGTTACAATTTATGTATACTGATAATTTCCAAAATTATATTTCCAGCCCCATCTTCATCCCTAAACCTTATATATATACAAATTTCTACTCTACATCTCCACTTGACTCCAAAAGACATCACGAACTTAAACCACCCTAAATCAGACATCTAATATTCCTCCTACCAAACTGCTCCTCTCATGAACTTCTCCCAGTTTCAGTAAACGGAAACAGTTCTTCCACATACTCAAAGCAAAATCTTGGAATCATCCTTGACTTCTTTCTTTCTCTCACATTCCACATCCAGTTCATTGGAAAAATAATCTTGATTGCCTTCAAAATATATCCAGAATTTGACTACTTCTCACCACCTCCACCATCGCCTTTATCCCAAGTTACTATTAATTCTCACCTAGATTATAGTTCAGTTCAGTCGCTCAGTTGTGTCCGACTCTTTGCCACCCCATGGACTGCAGCACGCCAGACCTCCCTGTCCATCACCAACTCCCGGAGCTTACTCAAACTCATGTCCATCGAGTCAGTGATGCCATCCAACCATCTCATCGTCTGTCGTCCCCTTCTCCTCCTGCCCTCAATCTTTCCCAGCATCAGCGTCTTTTCAAATGAGTCAGCTCTTCACCTCAGGTGGCCAAAGTATTGGAGTTTCAGCTTCAACATCAGTCCTTCCAGTGAACATTCAGGACTGATTTCCTTTAGGATGGACTGGTTGGATCTCCTTGCAGTCGAGGGACTCTCAAGAGTCTTCTCCAACACCACAGTTCAAAAGCATCAATTCTTCGGCGCTCAGCTTTCTTTATAGTCCAACTCTCACATACATACATGCCCACTGGAAAAGCCATAGCCTTAACTAGACAGACCTTTGTTGGCAAAGTAATGTCTCTGCTTTTTAATATGCTGTCTAGGTTAGTCATAACTTTTCTTCCAAGGAGTAAGCGTCTTTTTATTTCATGGCTGCAGTCACCATCTGCAGTGATTTTGGAGACCCCCAAAATAAAGTCAGCCACTGTTTCCACTGTTTCTCCATCTATTTGCCATGAAGTGATGGGACTGGATGCCATGATCTTTGTTTTCTGAATGTTGAGCTTTAAGCCAACTTTTTCACTCTCCTCTTTCACTTTCATCAAGAGGCTCTTTAGTTCTTCTTCACTTTCTGCCACAAGGGTGGTGTCATCTGAATATATGAGGTTATTGATATTTCTCCCAGCAATCTTGATTCCAGCTTGTGCTTCATCCAGCCCAGCATTTATGGATTATAGTAGTAGCCTCTTAACCCTTATCTGTGGTAAGACTCTTACCAAATCTCGCTGGGGAGGCCACATAATATAAGGACTGAGAAATGACTGATGGATTTGCCAATGCAGGTCATTAGTAACGTTAGTAAGACTGCTTTCACTGGATTCATCAGTAATGTGGAAAGCTGACTGAACTGGATTCCACAATACAGTGGAATTCTATATGCTCCTTGTTGATCTATAATAACTCAAGAAAATTCTCCTTCCAGAGTCTTTGTATTTGCCCTTCCCTCTGCCTGGACCACCTTTCTTCCAGGTAGTCACATGTGGATTATCTGCTCTCTCTCCTGAATTCAGATTTCTATTAAAATGACAGCTTCTGAGAGATTTCTCTATCAGGTTATTTAAAATAGCACCATCCACTCTCAATCCCTTTACTTCTTTATCTTTTTTTTTCCTTCTTAGCATTTATCACTATTTGAATATATCTCTTTATCCGACATCACCCACCCCCACTACACACACTAGAATGTAGGTTCTATGAGGGCAGGGACTTCTGTTTTCTACTATTTATCTAACCTGGCAAATAGCGGGTACCCAAGTATCTGTCGAATGACTAAATAAGCAACCTTCGTCTCAAACGCACAGAGTTACTACCTGCGAACATAGAAAACTTTAAGACCTCGGAATATACCCCCTTGGAACGTGGGCTTGCATCATTAGGGCCTCTTAGACGTCCCCCTCTTAGAAGACATACGGTATCGCTTCCGCCCTCGCTCAAACCTCAGGGAAGGAGGGGCGGAGGGTTTATGTCATCACCCTGCGACCGCCTGCTCCTAGACGCGCCGGCTGCTGGCGCAGCCCTTCGCTCGCCCGGCCTCCCCCTCCCTGGTTCCGCGCTCTGGTTCCGCCATGGAATCTAACAAGGATGAAGCCGAGCGCTGTATTAGCATCGCCCTTAAGGCCATCCAGAGCAACCAGCCGGACCGAGCGCTCCGCTTCCTGGAGAAAGCGCAGCGGCTGTACCCGACGCCGCGAGTTCGCGGTGAGTGTAACATGCCGGAGACACTGAGGGGACATTAGAACTGATGGGGGGAATACGGGAACGGACCGACGGGAGCAGTTGGAGGAGGGGGAGGGGTGGCGAGGCGCGGCTACGCCTGCGCACTGAGACGCGCGGTGGCCTTCGGGAGGTGTAGTCTTTGGCTCCCACCCCTCTCCGGGATACTGGACACTTGGTGACAGGGGCAACAGTGACTTTAGCTTTCCAGGTGCTTGCGGAATCCTCTTAGATTTGGAGTTCCCAAGAATGAGAGGTTCTGACAGATGGGGCGAAAGGAACTTATATGGAAGCGAAATCGAACTACTTTTCCCAAGGGGCCATTCGGTGGCCAAGGGCCAGTTGCCGGCCTGGGAAATACAGTTTAGGAAAATAAACATAACTCCTCTGAAGGAAGAAATAAGTTCTAGAGAAAGAAAGAGGACTTCTGACCTTCGGACGGCCTGAAAAGTCATCTCCGTATGTTTACTCTCTGGCACGTCTCCGGGCTAGGGTCAAGGACCACCCTCACCAAACTAGAGCCTGCCCTTTTCCCATTCCACACACCCGCTCACTCCCTCCTGGAGCCTCTTCTCCCGCTTGCGAGCTTCAGAGCGATGGCCTCAAGCACTCCCACCTACCCTCGCCCCCTAGAGTCCGTCAGTGGCCGGCCATATGAGCGTCAGGACAGCACCAGGCTGCTAAGCAGCCCTGGACTGTTTCCAAACCAGAGAGGGAACAGTGAGGTTGTCTGTAATACTCACTGTATCCAGGAAGCCTTTTTTTTTTTTTTCTTTAACCTAAGTCTTCGGAGTTTTTCTTCACACACGCTGGAGGAGAGAAAGAGGTAATTCATTAAAAATGCAGAGTTTATACCTTCAATTGCCACTAAGTAAACTGACCGATAGCAGGTACTCAGAAGACGGAGTTTTCATCCTAACTGCTACCATGTGATCTTTCTGAGCTTCGGTTTCCTCAACTGGAAAATTGGACGGCTGGCACAGATAATATGAATAACAATCAACCCATAAGGGCTTTTCAGTATAGACAGCTCTTTCAGTTTGTTTTCTCTCTTGAGCCTACCCTATCAGGGAGGCAGAGCAGATCATTATCTTTGTTCTGTAGATAAGGAAATACCTCAGAGGCTAGGGACTTGTCCAAGATGACACAGCTAGAAGTTGGAAAGTTCTGTGACTCTTTACATGTTCGCTAAAGGAATAAAATGAAACTGAACAGCAGCAGTTAGCTTTCTAACCCTTCATGCCCACATTATGAAGTTGAGAAAGGGGAATCGTGGTGGAAGAGGCAGTCTAGAACGCCTAAGTTTTTCTCCCTTCTGACTCTGCAGGTTTGGCCTGTTTGCTTTAGAGAGAGTTACAGTCTCTGTTTTCCACAGCTCCTGAGGTAACCTGCTCAAGGAACTTTTCTGTGAAATCACACTCTGTAAGACCGCCCTCTCTGTAAGGGGGCGTGAGGGCAGCTCCCAGACTGACTCCGGTACTTCTGGAGGTTCAGAAACAAGCAGCCAAGAATGGATGGTAACAGCATGACCTGCGGAACTCTTCTGTTACCAGGCCCCCCGGAACACTTCAAGTGCTTGGGTGGGTGTCCTTCCTGGAGCACAAGTACTGGAATTTGCTCAGGCAAGGAGTGACCTGCTGCATATTTGTCATTTTCGTGTTATTCTGGAAAGGGTATTTGCCCCTCAGCTCTCTGAAAACTTTACCTTGTGCCATTTGCAGGCCTGCACTGAGCTGACAAGGATGTAGGGGTGATTTAGGCTTGAGATACGGAAACCTTGGTTAAAAATACTAGGTAGTTGTCTACATTTGATGTTTAAAGTTTGAACTCATTCCACATACTCATTTATTTATTTTTTTTTTTTTTGCCAATGAGAAAAAGAGTTTGTTTATTCTTGTAACATAAAAATCCATGCTTTGGGATTCAACGAACTCTTAGAAAGTATTTTCTGAATCCTGCTAGTTGTGGAAGCATTTTCCCCACAAAAAGTCATGAAGATGCCTGAAGAAGTGGTAGCTGGTTGGAGAGAGGTCAGGTGAATATGGCAGATGAGGTAAAAATTCATAGCTCAGTTCATTCAACTTTGAACTGTTAGTTGTGTGACATATGGTCAGAAATTGTCGTGGAAAAGATAGGCTCCTCTTTCTATTGACCAATGCCAACTGCAGGCATTGCAGTTTTCAGTGCATCTCATTGATTTGCTGAGCATACTTCTCAGATGTAATGGTTTCACCAGGATTCAGAAAGCTGTAGTGGATCAGATGGGCAGCAGACCACCAAACAGTGACCACGACCTTTTTATGGAGCAAGGTTGGCTTTGAGAAGTGCTTTGGAGTGTCTTCTTGGTTCAACCACTGAGCTAGTTGTCACTGGTTGTCATATACAATCCACTTTGCATGTCACAATCTGATCGAGCAATGGTTCGTTGCTGCAAAGACTTAGAGAACATAACACTTCAAAACGATGATTTTTTTTTTTTTAATTTTCAGTCAGCTCACAAGGCACCCACTTATCGAGCTTTTTCACCTTTCCAATTTGCTTCAAATGCTGAACAACCTTAGAATGAACTCATTCCACATACTCATTTAATGCAAAGACTTCTTTGTTTTTGTTTGCAAAATCTCTTCTTGGTGCTAAGTGGTTATAGAGGAATTGGTAAGACGTGATCATTCACCTTAAGGAGCTTACATCTAGTGAAGGAGACAGTTACAGAAAAGATGTTACTGCAAACTGTAAAACGAGAGCTGTGATTAAACAGAAATGAAGCCCAGTGTTAGATGCTGAGAGCCTCTGGGTGGATGTGAAAAATTCAGTCCCTGCCCTTCACGAGGCTGAGGGGAATCTTGGGGGTAGGAGGCATGGAGAGTAAATTATAAGCAGTCTCATGACAGGGATGTGAAAATCATGGTAGATCACAGTGAGGGAAGGCTTCGGGGAGTAGGATAAGAGGCCGCATTTGAACTGCACTTCAGAGGAGAGTAGGGGGCTTGAGAAGGGCTTGCAGGGGGAAAGATATGGAGGCTGGAAGTTGTAAGAGATGTGGGGGAAGAGACTGAGTGTAACGAGATATGGAGGCCGTGGAGGTGGTAATTTGAGTATGGAGGGGACTGTGGTTGAACATAGGATGGGACCAGACTGGGGGAATCCTTTCCTGCCATACTGGGGTATTTTCACTTTACTCTGTAGTTAGTGGAAAAATGACTGAAGTTTTTGATAGCAGGTGGAAGATAGGGTACTGATCTTAAGATGACATATAGGGTTATTGAGTGGGAAGAGAGACTCAAGGCAGAAACCAGTTGGGAGGCAATTGCATGGAGTGGGTTAGGAATTACGAGGGCTTAAGGTAAGGCAGCATGGATCAGAATAAATTCATTGGAGGAGAAGTGCTGAGGCTTCTGTAAGAAGGATGCTGAGGAAAAATGGGGACTCAAAATCCAACCCTATGTGATCAGGAAGAAACCAAGCTAAAGAACATGGGTGGGCAGAGATGGGCAGAGTGCAAGGTGCTGGTGGGGTGTTCCAAATAAACTATCAGGTTGGAGCTCGGAGAGAGCACCCGGTTCCAGCTGAGAGTCTGCCGTCATCAGTTGGATGGAGCTCCCTGGAGTCGTGCCAGGCTGAGGTCACTGTGGGAAGGTGTGAACGTGTAGCAGAGGTTACTGCAGACACAGTCATTGCCACATCTGCCCTTAGCCAGCGGGCAGAGACAGAGGAAGCAAAAGGTGAGATGGAGCAACAGCTGAAGAGGCAGTCCCAGGAGGGAGCAGCGACCAGGTAGCCGTGGAGCCCTGTGTCAAGGAGGTGGTGAGCAGCACTGTCAGTTGCTGCAGAGGCCACGTGAGGAAGGGGCAAGTCAAGAAATGAAAGGCGGAGAATCAAGAGCATCGGATGAGGACTGGTCCTGGAGACGTGGAAGGACAGACAGGAAAAGGTTAGGAGCGAGAGGAGGCTCAGAGAAATCTTGAAGGGTCCAAGGACCTCACAGTGAAAGGATCCAAGACTTGAAACTCTGCTGCAGGAGGTGGGATGGGGAGGCACCAGGGGCTGGACTGATGTACTCTGGAGCAGGGGTGGGGCCCTAAGATGAGAAGTCACAGGGCAGGGGAAATGGAGCCAGTCAGTCCCTTTCTGAGAGCTTCTATCCAGTCCTGCAGCCTGGTAAGCAGTGGCTTTGCCTCAGGCTTAGCGACAGTGGTGGAAGGCACTGCGTTTTCCTGGAAGCTGTCAAGAACATCTACAGGCCTGTGTTTTTCCAGCATCCTGAGTGAAGTTTAGCCACGGAGGACAGCTCAGCTGCCTCAGGTTCTGTGAAGCACCTGGCACAGAGACTGACGAGGTTCAAAATGAATAGCTGGTAATGTCATGATCTAGGCTCATGAACCGGCTTGGACTGGGAACAGGCCAGCCAGGGAGGTGAGAGGACCCAAGGTGGGGGGCTGGGACGCTCCAGGGCTTCAGAAGGTAAAGTCTCAACACTCAGCAGGCTGTGGACTGAGTTGTAACCCAGAAATGTCAGGACATCCCAGACTCCAGGTCCACGCAGAGGCTGCCCAAGGTTCTGTGTGGTGCTGACTCTGGGGTTCAGGCTCAGTCGGAGAGGCCAGCACATGGGAGAAGAGAGGACTGGCCACTGAGAGGGTTTGGCATTCAGGGTCTAGGAGTGAGGGATATTTTAGGACTGGCAAGGTCCAGAGTGTGGAGCTGTCTGTTCCAAGTTGGTCAGCCTTTATGTACTGCATTGTGCACTCAGTCCTTCCACTTATCTTGTTTTATTGAATCTTCTTTACCCCCCTGAACAATCCTGTGAGGGCAGGAACTGTGTCTTCACTGAGAAATTAGGTAACTTGACAAGGCCACGTGGCTCATTAGCAAAGGATACAGACTGTGCAGCCCCACTCCCTGGCTCTTCATCTAATCTGGCCTCCATCTCCCGACTACTTGGAGCACTGTAGGTACCTAGAGAGCCTGTCCCAGGTGACACAGTGTTTGCTGGAGGTGGTGCTCAGTGCTTTGGAGGCATTCACTCATTTACTGTTGCAGCTGTCCTGAGGGAGATCCAGGTTTACATGGAGAGGCTAAATTGACTTGTCCAAGGAAGCACTGCTGTCAAGTGGCAGGGCCAGGTTTGAAGCGGGCAGTCTGGGTTTGAGGAGGGTCTCCTCTAGTAGCTCTGTCTGTACAGATGGTCTCACCTCCATCTCAGTGGCTCCTGCTGCTACCCCAGCTTTGGTCTCTTCCTCCAGTTTCCCTTCTTTCTAACTGTCTGCCAGCTTTTCTGAGAAGGGGCAGAGTTGGGATTTGAACCCAACCCTGTCTGTCTAACTCCATCGCCACATTAAGCTATTCTTTTGCCTACTCTTCTGTGACTTTGCTTCCCAGGCACTGTGCTGTGAGGGGTGTAACAGTGAGACAGCATGGGGCAGTCAATATCCACGGGCTGGCAGAGGGCTTGTCCCGGCCACAGGAGAGTCTTGAGTTGTTAGCACCCAGAAATCTTGAATTGCCACCTCAAACAGCAATCTTCTGTGTGGCCTAGAGCATATTCATTCCCCTTTACGCTGTCTTTGTGCAGTGTAGGGAAATTAGAAGGACTGGTTCCACATAGCTAAAAAATCTTCCAGAATCTTCCCTGAAAGGTACCAGAGAGAGCCCATCCCACTTCCTGGCTGATGCTCCTGTGTAGCTACAGTAATTGAATGGCCAGTCATATTGTCCTGAGGGCATCAGCCTGGACCCCTGTGGTTTCCAGAGAAATGAAAATAAACAACCTCTTTAAAAGCCTTAGGAAACCAGCAGACTGGCTCCTCGCTCAGTCCTGTCTTGATCAGCATCACTTTGTTGGTTTCTACTTTTGCCGTTTCCTTGGTACCTGACGTAAAAGTGGAGCCTGGGATGGCTTGACATCTCATGATTGCAGCTGAGTCCAAAGCCTACTGGGCGCTGAGACTTTGCCTCCCCAAGATGTAAAGTGCCCTGCCCACCCCCGACCTTGGTCACCTCACCTCCCTGGCCAGCCAGCTCATCAGCCCCGGTCACAGTATTAGCAGCTCCTCATTTTAAACTTTTACTGTATGTCAGTGTCTGTGCCAGGTAGTTACATATCTCATTTTATCCTCATCTACTATGTGGGGAGATCCCCTGCAGGAGGACATGCCATCCCACTCCACTGTTCTTGCCTGGAAAATTCCATGGGCAGAGGAGCCTGGCGGTGGGGTCATGTGGTCAAAAGGGTTGGACGCGGCTGAGCGCACACACATGCACACTGTGAGGAAACCGAAATTCAGAGAAATCTCACCAGTCCACCAGAGGTCGGGGTGTTAGGCTGAACTGAGATTTGAAGCCTGGGTCTTTGGGAATGAACTTCTTTCTCAGCACAATATGTCTGGAAGGGGCTTCTCCTGCCAGGCTCATGTGGTCTGGGATGGCAGAGTAGTCAAGAGCATGGTTTCCGGAGCTGGACATCCTGGAACTCGAGTGCTGCCACTCACCTTATGTCGCCACGGCAAGGTGATCAAACACAGCTCCTCCCTCATAACAGGGATTACAGTGATGAGACCCAGCTCTGAAGCCACTGTCAAGATTAAATGGGCAAGGACTTCCCTGGTAGAGCAGTGGATGGGAATCTGCCTGCCGGTGCAGGGGACAGAGATTCCATCCCTGGTCGAGGAAGATTCCACGTGCTGCAGAGCAGCTAAGCCCGTGCACCACAACTGCTGAGCCCCCGCTCTAGAGCCGGCGGACCACAGCTAGTGAGCCCCTGTGCTGCAGCTACTGAAGCCCGTGTGTCCAGAGCCTCTGCTCTGCAACAAGAGAAGCCCCCGCACCACAACTAGAGCGTAGCCCCCGCTCTCTGCAACTGGAGAAAGCCTGAGTGCAGCAACGAAGACCCAGCGCAACCAAAAAATAAATAATTTTTTTAAAAAGGATTAAATGAACAAATACACGCAGAGCACCATATCTGGGCCTGCTGACTCATGGCAAGCGCTCACCACTGTGGCTTCTCTCTGAGCACCCTCTTGGGCTTTGCTGCAGGAGCCCCTCCACCCCCTCATGCAGGGCCAGCCCACCTGTCAGCTTCTGTGTTTGTATTTCCCAGCTGCTGACTCGGTGAGAACATGTGAATTTTCTGTAAGTAGAGCAGCAGTGGCTCGGGATACAGTGGTCCACTCAAGCCCCAGTGCTTGGCTCCCTGGAGCCCAGCTCTGGGCCTCTTCCAGGCCCACATGCATCATAGTGCCTGGAGCCCAGCAAACACCTGGCACATTTGAAGGAAGTTGGGGACCAGCCAGGCTGCATTGCTGCCCCTCCTCTGCACGGAGGTGTCCCGGGTCCCTGCAGTGGCCCAGATGCCTGGATTCCAAGGGTGCTGTGCCCCAGGCATGACTCATGGGCTCAGAGCTGGCTCTGGGCCTGTAATGAGTGGGCACAGGAGACTCCTTCCAGAGATATGGGCCTTTCCTCATTGAATCAAAAGGCACCAAGGACTTGGGTTTGGATATCTGTGACGCTCTCTGAGCATGACCGCTAATGCCCTGTATAGACTGTGAACACTGAAGCAGGACATTGGACGTGGCCAGCCGTTTGAAAAAGGTAAACGGTAGCAAGCGTGAGCACAGCAGATGTTTGTCCTGAGTCCCACACCAGCCCTGCCCCCTGGGGCAGAATCACTGCTCCCTTTCCTCTCCACAGCTGAGCGGGAGGAGGCCTTCCTCCCAGCCCCTGCTGACTCTGATGGTCCTGCTGAGTGCAGCCCCCTTACAGAGCACTTTGCCCATCTTGGCACTCAACAGAGGGTGGCTATGACACACTTCACTTAGGGATTTTAAAAACCTAAAAGATTAATAGTTTATTTTTGTGCTGGGTTTACCCTCAGAACTGTGGCTCCTAAGCAAGCGATTATCCCCTTAGTCCCTCAGGCCCAGGTCAGGAAAGGAGCAAGCTATGTTGGGAAGAAGAGTGGGTGGGGTGCAGGGGTCCTGGGATCTCCCAGGGCCAGGCAGGCCCTCAGCCATTGCTGGAGCAGGAGCCCCGAACAGTTGTCTTGCTTTTGCACAGCCCTGATCGAGTCCCTCAACCAGAAACCACAGCCTGCCGGCGACCAACCCCAACCCACAGAGGCAACTCACGCGACCCATAGGAAAGCAGCTGGGGCCAATGCCCCCTCAGCCAACGGTGAGGCCGGAGGAGGAGAAAGCACCAAAGGCTACACCGCAGAGCAAGTAGCAGCCGTGAAAAGGTAGCGGACTGGGCAGGCGGGAGGAGCCAGAGCCTGGGGGGTTGGGGCATTTTTACATCTAGAGAAGGCTTCCTGCCGCTCGTCATCCACCTCACCTGGAAGGACCTTGAGACTGGAGGATGGTCAGGAGTCGAGCTCACGAGGCCCTCTCCCATTTCCCATGAGGCCCTGGAGTCTAGTGTGGGCCTTGGGGCCCCGATATCCCCTGCTGCCCCGGCAGCCCACGGCAAAAGCTGGAAACCGCTGATGCTGCTGGCCTCCTCTGCCACAGGCCAGCAGATCCTGGGCCTTTTTACACAGCCCCGTTTGTCAGAGATGAGGCCTGGTCTCCTCTCCAGATACTCCCCCAACCCACATTCCTGCCCCCAACAAAGACCCTTTCAGATCAGAGCCTGTGTGGGGTAGGGTGGAGACAGGAGGAGTTATCCCTCCGAGGCTTGGGCAGGCTCAGCGTGGAGCAGCTCACACCAGGCCGAGACAACCCCACCACGGCTGCTCGGGATTAGATGCTCCCGCTTGCATTTCTCCGGAGGCCTCCAACCACCTAGCCTTGGGAGTGCCTCTGCGGTCATTCCCCGTGGTCCTGGCTGCTAGTGAAGATGTTGTCAAGCTTCAGGCCTGTGTGTGACCCAGTGTGATGATAGTTTCCCATAAAAGTATTTGCCGAATTTACACCTTTCTGACCAGACAGGACTTTGACCAGACAAGACCATGGGTTGTAGGCAATAGAAACTGGTGATGGGGATTTTCATGGTGGTCCAGTGGCTCAGACTCCATGCTCCCAATACTGGGGCCCAGGTTCGACCCCTGATCAGAGAACTAGATCTGACATACCACAACTAAGAGGTCAAACACTGCAACTAAGACCCAGCACAGCCGAATAAAACTAAGTATTAAAAAGAAAGAAAGAAACCAACTGTGGGCCAAGAGTCAGGGAGTCTCCAGGCACCCCAGGAGTTAAAATTAGGGGAGAGAAACAGCGTCTCTTCAGGGCCCTGTGATGGGTGAACAGACACCTGCCACATCCAGCCTGTTTATCCCTCAGACTCGGACTGCCAGGAGGGTAGAGCTGCTGAACCCGGGGCACACCTGCCCTTGGGCAGAGGCCCCTGACCAACAGTCCTTCCTAGGTGCCTGCAGCGAGGTTGCTCAGGGAATGGTTCCTGGCCCGGCAGAAACAGCATTAAATCCTAAATATATTCTTGCTGTCTCCGCTGGGCCTGTCCTGGTCCCCAGCCTGCTCAGAGCTGGGCACCCACACTGCTCTTTCATCAGCCACCTCCCTTCCCAGCCTGGGCCCACGAGAGCTCCCTCACCAGGTTCTACTCCCTCCTTCTCCAGGGTCAAGCAGTGTAAAGATTACTACGAGATCCTGGGGGTGAGCAGAGGGGCCTCAGATGAGGACCTGAAGAAGGCCTACCGCAAACTAGCCCTCAAATTCCACCCTGACAAGAACCATGCGCCTGGCGCCACTGAAGCTTTCAAAGGTAAGCTGACCCAAGTTTCCTAGTGTTTGGCTGTTCTGATCTCCTATCCTGGGGAGGGAAGGAGGGGCTTTTCCTGGAAGCTGCCTTGGACCCAAGTCCTTCCAGCTCAGGAGCTGCTTTTGGGAAGAAGGCCCTGTAGTTGCCTCCACCCCGCAGTCTGTCAGAGTGCAGATGGTACCACTCCTCTCTCCTTCCCCCTCCCTCCCCGGAGTCACAGCAGGGGAGCTGAGAACCAGTGCCTTTGCCAAGGTCACATGCTGATTGAGGGGCTGAGGGAGGCCTCCTGTGTCAATTCCGCATCCTGGGATCTTGAAAATAGTTCCCCTCTTCTGAGAAGCTGAGTGGCCTGGATCAGAGCTTGGCGGCCTCCTCAGACCAGCAGCCGTGGCCTACCCTCCCCAGTCTCTCTACACATACAGCCCCCCCACACACTTACCACACACAACCTCTTGCCTCCAGTGGGGGACATAGCAGTCTCTCTGGACTCAGGGCCTGTGATTTCTGGGGAGGGGGCTTCAGTTCTGGCTGAAAACATAAGCTGCCCTTTAATCGTTTATATTTTCATTGAACACATCAGGCATACTTGCTGGCTGTGTACCAGCGCTGAGTTGCTGGGCCTGCAGTTCCCCAGACATCCCTTCTCTCCTCTCATACCTGCCTGTCCTCCACGGGACCTTCATGGTCTTAGGCTCACCTCCCTCTGGGGTGTGGTGACTGGCCCCCTCCCTGGGGCCAGGCAGGGTGCTGTGCTGTACCGGGGCTATGACCATCACCAGGCGGGGAGCCTGCACAGAACAGACCCCCAAGATCCCGTGTGCCTCTCTCGGGACTGTCCCAAGTGCTCTGTTACAGGCTGCTCGGGGTTGGTTCCCACTGGGGCAGTCTGCAGGCATCTCCCCCCGCTGCCTGTCCACCAACCTCAGGGGCAGAAGGAGAAAGGAATGAGGAGGCAAGGCAGCTGGGGTTCATGTTTCTCCAGCCCTGGCCTCGGGGCCCTGTCACGGTGGGAGGAGGAGAGGCATTCTCACTCTCTAGGGGTGCACGTTCTGAAGCAGATGCAGCTTTGACCTGCTGCCTTGAGGGTGTGGGCCGCTGGAGGACGAGAGACTAAGGAGGACTCAGATCTGGGGCCTTCCAGGCACAGGCTTCCCCACCCCTGGGATCCCTAATGGGGACCAGGTGGAGGAACCACAGCTGGAACCCGGACCCCAGGGAAGAGAAGGCTTGCCCAGGCCACACCACCAGCAGTGGAGTCTCAACTAGAACCTGGGGACCCGGCCCCTCCTGGCAGTTCCTGCTGCTGTCCGATTTACAATAGCACATCACGTGTTTGTTCAGCCTTCTTGTTGTGCTGTGACTTGAAGATTACATACCCTCCAGAAAGGATGCCCCATCCCACCAGACACCCCAGGAGAAAGGAATGAGGAGGAGGTATTTTGGTGGTTTTCATAAAGTCAGAGAGCAGACCTGAAGCAAGACTCACCTGGGTTTGATTCCTGGCTCTGCAGCATCAGACCTGTGTGAGCTTACACTTAACCTCCCTGAGCCTCAGTTTTCTCATTGGTAAAATGGAGATGAGCTCTTAGGGGTAAGTAGGGTAATGGCCATAAAGGACCTGATCGATAGAAAAAATTGGACCATCATCATGCGGTGGAGAGTGAGGACTGAGTGTTAATCCTCCACCCACTGCAGACTGCCCCGATTCCATCCAGAGGTATTCCAGCATCCATCCTCCCGCCCCACCCTCTGCACCTTAGAGCACCACTTGAACACCTGAAGGAAGTGGGTGCTTGGCCACCATGGGCCTACACCCCCAGCATCCTCGGACCTCACCTTTCTGCCTCCTTTCTTGCTTCCAGCCATTGGCACAGCATATGCGGTACTTAGCAACCCAGAGAAAAGGAAGCAGTATGACCAGTTTGGTGATGACAAGGGCCAGGCAGCCCGGCACGGCCATGGGCATGGGGACTTCCACCGCGGCTTTGAGGCCGACATCTCCCCTGAAGACCTCTTCAACATGTTTTTTGGTGGTGGCTTCCCATCTAGTGAGTTTCCCTGCTGTCCCCCACGTCCAGGCCTTCCTCGTGGTGATGGTGGGAGATGGGATGCCAGCCTCTCCCCTTCCCAGCAGCCCCACTCCTGACTCAGTCCCTCTGACCCCCAGGTAATGTCCACGTCTACAGCAATGGCCGCATGCGCTACACGTACCATCAGAGGCAGGACCGCAGGGAGAACCAGGGTGATGTGAGTGAGGAGGGGGTGGGTATGGGGAGGGTGCCTAGTCCCACCCAAGCGGGTGAGGCCTGGATTGAGGAATACCTTGCTATCCTGCGACAGCGGTACCCCCCCAACTCAGCTGGGAAGCTAACTCCATCCCCCAGTTGCCATTCCACTAAAGGACACCAGAGGGAGCCACACTCCACAGCACCCACAGCGGGAGTTGGGCGTGATGGCCTCTGCTGGGAAATGGAATGCAGAAACCTCCCTACTTCCAGGCAGGTTCCAGTGTTAATGGCCTTCGTGAGATCTATATGTTCTTAAGGTCAGAATGACATTTTCCAAGCAATGGAAGGTTAAACTTCACAAGAGAATTGTAAAGGATGACAACATAGTGTTGGGTCTTCTTTCTTCTCTTCAGTATTCTTTAATAATGCATACAAGAGCTGTAACAAGACAATGCACCAAACATCCTTTGAGTGCCACAGATTATAAGAACAGGTGGCTGACTGAAATTAAAGCAGTTAGCTAAGATTAAAATACTGTGGACAGTTGCAGAATATTTAAAATTATACCAAGCAGAGGGTTCTCTTTTGCTCTGATAATGTGGCCTTCTGCTTTTGTTTATTCATTTTTTAAACTTTTAGTTTGTGTGTATTTAACATACAGAAGTTTTTTAAAATCGCAAATTACCACACACTGAACAAATTTACTTTATAATTTCTCAACTGGCAATTTTTAAATTGGTAATAGGGTTCAGAATTCAGAAAGGTATATATAGTGCAAATCTCCTTCAAGGCCTGCCTCCCATTCTTCTGAAGGCAGACACTTTTGCTTTTTTTTTTTCTTGTATTCTCTCACAAGTAAATATGTATACCCACCTCCCACCCCAGTATTTAACCCCAGTTGCGGCTTTGTTTTTTTTTAGCAGCTTTGTTTTTATTTGGGGAAACTGGAAGCTAGAGGAGTTTCTGTATTAGGGGGACCCATGGGAGGGAATGGGAGAGAAAGACATCGTGGTCTGTCTGTACAGACTCCCACCACCTGGGCTGCATTGTGGCATTTGCCACCAGCATTCCCCCCACCAGCATCAGCCTGGGTGACCGTTGGCTCTTCCCTCTAGGGCGGGCTGGGGGTGTTTGTCCAGCTGATGCCCATCCTCATCCTGATCCTCGTATCAGCTCTCAGCCAGCTCATGGTTTCCAGTCCACCCTACAGTCTGAGCCTCAGACCGTGAGTACCCACCGCTGGGGTGAGTCCCGGGTAGTGGGTACACAGCGGGGTGGGGCAGGAGCTTTGGAGCCTCAGGCCCCACCAGGGGCCTTCCTTCCCATCCTCTTCCAGCAGGTTCCTGATCAAATTGCAGAAGCTGCTTAGAATCAAGAAAATAGACCTTGTTAAGCTGAGGTTCTTGATTTTTTTAGGATCATAGTCCCCTAAGAAAACACAGTGAAGCCTGCAGCTCTTTTCCCTAGAACACTGTGCATGCACACTGTTTTGCATATGGTTTCACAGGTTTCATGACACTCTCCCCATCTTATCTGCTGGCCTTGAAATAGGAACCTCTATTCTTCCATTCTGCTTGAGAGCCCTGAGACCATGAGAACAGAGGCTCTAGAGTCAGAGCAAAGGTTGCTTTGAATCCTAGCTCCTCTACTAACTAAGCAGCTCTGTGACCTTGGACTAGTTATGTAACTTCTCTGAGCCTTTGCTTCCTCACCTACAAAATGGGAGTACCTGCTTGTGATAATTAAATGAGTAATATGCATAAAATGCCAGGCTCATTAGAAATGCTTGCTAACATTTGTCAAATGAATATACGGTCTCACACTGATAGTGAACTTGGGCAAGTTATTTGCCCTTTGAAGGCATCAGGTCCCCTCATTTATTTCTAGCACCTGACCTGATATAGAGCGACTGCTTGGCTTCTATGGCTGGAAGCCCAGTGACCCCACCTAGCGGCCAGCCTCTGCCTGGGAGCCTGGCAGGATCCCTCTGAGCCAGCAGGGGGCAGAGTCGGCCCACTGGACCCACACCAGCCAGCACAAGCACTCTGGCCTGATGCCAGCCTTTTTCTCTGTAGCTAGAGAGCTGAGAGGCAGGAATGGGCAGACATAAGCTTTCCTCACCAGAGCACTAACTTCTATCAGCATGTTGAGGCTCTTCCCTCAGCCTGCATGCATGTGTGTTAAGTCAATTCAGTCATGTCTGACTCTGTGCAATCCCATGGACTACAGCCTGCCAGGCCCCTCTCCCCATGGGATTCTCCATGGGCAAGAATACTGGAGTGGGTTGCCATTTCCTTCTCCAGGGGATCTTTCCGACCCAAGGATTAAACCTACATCTCTTATGTCTCCTGCATTGGCAGGCAGATTCTTTACCACTAGGGCCACCTGGGAAGCCCTGAGCCTGCAGAGCCTACAGTTAGAGCTAGAAGATTCCAAGAGGTGGAAGGATACAGCTCCTTAGAATCCTTCCTGTCATTTTGTTCCTAAGCCTGTTCACTCTGGACTGGGAGCCCCTGGATAGGAGGGCAGGCCCTCAGCAAGGATTGGCTTAGGGGATGAACAAGGGAATGGAAACACAGGGAGCTCAGGTCACGCACCTCATCCCAGGTGGGACCTGCACTCACCCTGGGTTCCCTGCTTCCCTGATCAGGCCCTGTCAGAGAGGGGCTGCTCCCCAGAGGCCCCAGGCAGCAGTGTGCTAAGCAGAGAGCCAGAGGCACACCTTGCTGTGGTCTGGACCACTCATGTAGGAGGGAGCCTCTTTCTTTTCTCCAGAGCAGCATGGAGCTCCTGCTCTAGCCCCTACTCCTGTGGGCTGCGCGGCAGCTTATGCTGGGGGCCCCAGTCATCCCTAGCGCTCCCTTGGGTCTGTGGACCCACGCCCACTTTGCGCTTGGTCTGTTTCTGGCCAGGTCGGTGGGCCACGTCCACAAGCGAGTCACTGACCACCTGAACGTCGTCTACTATGTGGCAGAAACGTTCTCTGAGGAGTACACAGGCTCCAGCCTCAAAATGGTTGAACGGAATGTGGAAGATGATTATATTGCCAATCTTCGAAACAACTGTTGGAAGGAGAAGCAGCAAAGTAAGTTTGTGTGTGTTTATGTGGGGGCGGGGGGTGGGGGGGCGGTGTGTGCACAAAGCTTGAGACCTTGGAAGAAGAAGGCGCTGTTCCCCCAGTGATCTGTGGGCCCAGCACCTGGCACTGCTCTGCGCCAGCCATGGCCCAGCCAAAAGCCAGCTACCACCCCTGTGTTTCCCTGGGGCTAGGAGCCAGGGGCCACCTGGAGATTTCTTCCAGCTTCCCGTAAATCACTGCAATCAGCCTGTTGTTTGGGTGCCATAGGTAACTGTGTAGAGAGAAATTGGGGCAAATCTGGCCACTCGCTGATTGGATATCTGGATCTATCTGTGGGGCCCTGGGGCAGTCTGACCAGGATGACAGGTTCTCACCTTGGCTGGCCTCACCTGTGTTCTATCAAAAGGTGCCTCTATCCTGCTCCCCAGCGGGGTCTACCTAAAGGGATTCTGCTGCAGTCCCTGGGCCCGTAACTGCTCTTCCCCTCCTGCACAGACCACGCTGACACCGTAGCAGCCTTAGAAGCACGCCCTGACTCGCCCCATTGCTTTGCAGAGGAAGGCTTGCTGTATCGGGCCCGCTACTTTGGTGACACAGACATGTACAACAAGGCGCAGAAGATGGGAACCCCAAGCTGTAACCGGCTGTCAGAGGTGCAGGCCTCCCTGCATGGATAGTCCTGGGCCAGCCGTGCCACCGAGGTCCAAGTATGAGCCAGGGCCGCCTCTGCCTGGCAACTCCTGGCAGCTCTGGTCTTGGTCATGAGGCAGAGGAGGGAGGGAGGGAGCCCAGTGACCGCGCGGCGCGGTTTCCCTGTCCTCAGCCTGACCCCCAGCCTGCAGAGCTGGGAGTGCTCTGGGGTGAGTGGGGAAACTGAAGTCTGTCTCAGCCCTCCAGGGTGCCTCCATGGCACCCCACCCTGCCCCCTGGCTCCAGAACTGAGCGGTGCCCAGGGCTGCTCCTCATGCTCGCTTGGTCTGCCCCAGCCCTGTGGTCCCCCTTGGCCCTTTCCCAAGTGTTACAGACTCTTATCTGGGCCCTGGGATCTAGGCCACCTGGTATTACTAGGCAGTCAGTAGACCCCCCCACTTCCCCAGCAGACACCAGGATGAACCATGTGGGAATGGGTGTGCCGACAGCCCTTCCTCGTCCCCTGTCCGGATTCCAGGCAGGAAGAAATGTGGTGCGAATGGGAGGGAACCCGTGTGCAGGGGAGGGAGCTGACAGGCTGGGAGCAGGAGAGGCCCTGCCCCCAGGCTGGTCCTAGTCTGGTTGGATCAGAAGCACTCTGAGCAGCTCTACACCTGGCAGCTGCAGGCATCTGACTGCCCATGCATCTCACCTGTGGTCTGAGGAAGGGAACAAAAGGTCACGAGTTCAGGGTCCAACGAGCAGAGAGCTCTCCGCACGGAGGAATGGGAGAAAACAATGAAAGGTGGTGATAGCAGGCTCCACCACCCCACCCTCCCACCTTTACCCCCTTTACGGCAGGCTCTGCTCCCAACATTTGCCAGAGAGGACAGCTTGGACCAGGCCCAGAGGAGTGTGGGCAGAGCTGGTAAAGGTTCTTTTTCGTGTTGGTGCTCTGCCCACCGCCTCTTCTGCCTGCGTCCCCTCAGCTGCAGGCTCTGCTCTGAGGCCATTTGCTGGTGCCTCTGGGAGAGAGGAACAGACTGCAGGGCCCAGAACTTGGCTTGTCGGTGGGGGCTGAGCTCCAGGACACGGAACTGCCAGGCTAACTGTTACCACTCTCCTCCCCAGACTATGAAATCCCTGGAGAATGTTTGGTGACATGCACTGAGCCAAGGTGACGGACTGTACACTTAAGGAAAGACAAAAAAAGAAAAAAAATTAAAGTGGAATTGGAGGCCGAACGCTGCACAACTGCCCTCTCTCTCACCCAGTAAATGCAGAAATCTCTTAGGACAGACAGGAAAACCTGCCACAGGGCTGCTTCCCTTCCTCCCAGGGCTGGCAAAGGCTCGGGCTCCACATCAGCTCTCTCCTAGGATACAGAAACCATGGCAACGAAAGTAGAATGTAAAACTTGCAGCAAATGTCTGTGGGAAGGGCTGGGGGAGGGGGCACCCAACTTCCTTTCTTCCTCCCTCCCAGGAGCTACCACCAGTCACCTCAGTGGAAGCAGTCAGAGGTGTTGGCCAAGGATAAAGAGGACAAGGAAAGAGAACTCTCCATAGAATGTAATTTACAGATGCGTGTATATGTATATATCTATTTATATGTAAATAGCACATATAAAGATATATAGAGAGAGAGTCTACTTTTTGAAACTATGCAGGGATTTGGTTAGGTTGTTGAGTAAATTTCTTCCCTGATTTAGAAAGCGAGGCTTGTTTGGGGAAGGGAGCCTTGTCCTTCATAGCTGACAGCAGAAGGAAAGTTGGGTCACAGCTTCTAACGTTGCCCTCAAGCCCAGCCTGTTTTTGATGGCAGCAGTAATCATGATAGCATAAATCTGTAGAGAACTTGGAAGGCTGCCAACTTCATGATTAAACTGGAGGGGAGCAGGCCATGGGAAAAGAAGGTGCCCCTAGGGTCAGGTGCCAGGTCAGTGTTGCATCATGGTAGAAACCCCAGATGGCCTAGGGGGATGAGCCCACCCACTGTAAGTTTGGTCAGCTCAGGTGGGCACTTTATCCTGGCGTCCAGGAGCCCCCCTGACCCCCCACCACTGAGAACAGCAGGATTGGAGAGGGGAGTCAGGTTCAGCCTGACCACCTCCCAGCTTAGTCCCTACGTGAGTTTTGCCTTATAGGTGCCCCTGGGCACAGCCCTATTGTTGCTACTGGTTTTTCCCAAGTCATGGACCAAGGACTCCAGAGGCTTTTCTTCCAAGAGTCAACCAGGTGGCACCCAGGACCTTGGGGCAGCAGCCGAATCCTGAAGAAAGGCCATGGCCGTGGGCACCTCTGTCTCTACCCTCCGAGGACGTGACGCCACCTGGCCTCTTGCACGTTGGACAAAAGATGAACCAGAAGGTTTTCTTCTCGTCACCTTCAAATGAGGATTTTTCTCAAAACAGCAGTTGCTGCCAGGGGAAGGGAGGGAGGTTTTATTTATTCCCACAGTTTATACTGGGCCTTTTGGAATTACCGTTTTCCCCAAATTTTCCTCTCGTGGTGGGTGTCATTGAGCCTGCCATCCTCCGAAGCCTTACTACCCCAAACCAAGCTGCCAGCCAGGAGGGGGTCACCACCCTCCCAGAGCTTCTCTTGGCTCTTTTTTTAAAAGTCTCCCAACAAGTAGTAGTCTTGCTGGGAAAGGAAGCTTGGTGAAGAAATGTCAAATATGGTTTTTAAACAAGGTCCTGCCCTGTGATGAAGCGGCCGCCCCAGCCCAGAGAGATGCTCAGAACTGGATGCGGATGAGAGCACCCTGCCCGCGGTGGCCCCGGTGCTCTGCCCCCACCACCCCAACCCTCTGGTCTCGGTAGATGTCCCTAGACAGGCTGAGCCATGTGCAATAAGAACATAGATCCTGACGGATCCCCTGAAAAGATGTATTTCTTGAATTAGAATTCTGAAATTGTATATCTATAAATATATGTTTATTATGTGACTTGTGGGTCTGTGTTGAGCAAGGGGGCCAAGCTTGGAGGGGAGAAGGGGGTACAAGCACCTGTTGCTGCTGACACTGTCCTGCCCTGGCCACGAGGAGTTTGGTGGCTATTCGGAATGTCCCCTTGCCCCAGCTGACAGCCACTTCAGTCACAAGTGTTGTTCCAGGGCTGACTCCCATCGCGACAAACGGTGAGCAGCTCAATTAGGCCAGGACCCGGGGGTCCCTGGCACTAATCCAGGGTGGGCAACCTGGGCCTCCCCTTGGTCCTACCCCGCCGATTCCATCAGGCCTGTGGTGAACACAGCAGATTCAGAACTTCCCTTCTCCCCAGCCTGGAGCTCCAGCCCACCCTGGATCCAGAACAAGGGAAAAGTTCTCAGAGTTTCTTTCCATCTCTGGCTGCACAGTCTTCCCAGCCGTCCCTGCCACACCGCCCCCACAGCCAACCCTCCTCCCCCATGGAAAAGTTAAAAATGCAGCAGCCAGCGTAGGGCTGTCTGAATGGAGCGGCAGATCTGCCGGGGGCCTCCCAGAGACAGGGCCCGGCAACCCTGACTGGCGGCCTGCGGCCCCTCCTGCCGCAGCTCCAGCCAAAGACAGGCAGGCTGCCCGGTGGCGCCACTGTAGCCTGGGAGCCCATTGGCTGCCCCCGCCCGGGTCACCGCGGCCCGCCGCCCGGTCTGCGAGCCACCACTTGTTGGCTGCGGTTGGCAGGGGTGTTGCCAGCCGCCCCCATTCACCCCCCCACCAAGTTCCCCTTCCCTCAGCGTGCAGTTCTGTGAGCCAAAAGGGGCGGGACAGACTCCGTCTGACTGTTCGCCACAAAAAAAGAGCCTTTGACAAGTGTCCCCACCCACTGTCAGGTGGTACAACAAGCCCCTAGTCCGTGCAAGCTCCCGGGATCAGCCAGCTTATCTCCCCGTCCTAGGCTTGCCCCACGGGGCCAGGAGCACATACCCAGCCGACTGTGGCCACATCCCCGCCCAGGGTTCCCGGGCAGAGTCACCTGGCTGTTGAGGAGAGGCGCACAGACTTGGAGGAACAGACTGTTGACAGTGTGGGCTCAGAATGCCTACCAAACATCACACCATGTGGTCTGAGCCAGTCAGCCCATTTCCCAGAGCAGGTGACTGAGACTCTGAGGCAGGGAAGTTCGTGCCCCGAGAGCCTCCCTCCATGAAGCCGTGCATGTCTTTGGGGTTTATGTAGCAAAACAATCAGTCCTTGAAGGGTCAGACCCACTCACACCAAGTAGAGTGGCAGGAGCCCTGAGTTCAGAAGGGTGGGAACGGGGAAAGGCCACACTAAGGGAAATGAGACTTAATCTGAGGGGCTGGGGCTGGGAACAGGCTGCCCTTAGGAGCTGTACACACTTACTCTCTCCCGGCAATGACAAAGGTGTCCACCTGCTGTGCGGGCAGCTTCCCTGAGCTGGCCGCGCACTCCAGAAGCAGGACAGCAGATCCGTCAGGTGTCAATCTGCACCCCTCAGCCCAGCTGCATGGACTGATCCCTCTACTGGCTGGGTAACCTTGGGCATGTCACTTAACCTCCCTCTGTCTCGGTGGCCTCATCTTCAAAATGCAGATAATAAAACCACCTACCTCAGTGGGTTACTGCGAGGAGTAAAAGTTATCCCATACATATTAAAAAAAAAAAAATAGGTACACAGGAAGGTACATGTGTTATCTGTCCTCAGTCGAGGAAGATTATTAACCAAGCACCAACTGAAGTCAAATCCCACTCCAGACGCGAAACCACAAAGGCGACTAAGACTTGGGCTGCCCTGGAGGAACTTCCGGCTGGGTGGGTAAGCCAGGTGTTCAGCAGACCCCCGTGAGCAGAGGACTGTGACAACAACAAACGGGGGAGCGTGGAGGAGTGAGCCGCTCGCAGTAAAGAAACTGGCATCTGTGAGGAGGTGAGAGCGGGCAGGGTTCGGGTGGGCAGGCACTCTGGCTAGAGGGGACGGTGCGGGCAGAGTCCTGGGAAAGTACAGGAGGGAACGGTACATACCCCAGGTCCCCAGTCTACAGCTGTCTTCTCACCCAGTCACACCCATGGGCCTTGGGCAGAGAAAGACGTTCACTGGGAATGAATGAACAAGAGACCCTGCGCCTCCTGAATCCTTGCTGTCCCCTGTTCACTCTGTTTGGGATTCACCAAGAGCACCTGAGCCTTTCTTGCTGGGCCCTGCCCTCAGGGAGGCAGCCTTGTGAGGCCAGTCATACAGGACAGGGGACGGGGAGTTGGGGGAGAGGCTGGCAAACTTGGAAGCCTATGCTGTGGCATTCACACCATGGCCCTGTCCCCACCCCCTACCCCCCACCCCACCCCTGACCCTCATGGAGGGATGTTTCACCAGGCACAGAGCCCAGGCTTCCTGTTACTTCCAACAGCCCCACAGCTGTTTGGGCAGGAAATAAAGTTCCAGGGCCCAGACAGGACCAGGGGTATGACGGGCATCTTCAAGACCCCCACGTCCAGGTAGCCCTCCCAGAGTCCAGGAGTCAGAACTTTGCTCTGGAGAAGAGTAGGCAGTCTGACCTTCTTTATTGTGCCCTCCCCTTCCCCTTCATTAGTCTAAATAAACTACCAGGGGGAACCTGGCTGCCTTAGCTCTGACTTTAGCTGGGCTTTTCCTTGGGGATGATGGGGTACAGTTCCAAGATGGAGCTGGTACTGGTAAGGCCAAGAGGTCAGGCTTAGGGCATTCAGGATTCTGGTCAGCAGTCCCACTACCTTAACTGGATGGGTGGTTGCCATTTTTTCTGATGGACACAGTGAAGGGGCCCAAGAAACAGGCACCCAAACAGCACAGGAGGATGCTGATGGACTTGATACAGAGGAGGGACGTGGAGGCCAGAAAAGTGGAGTGAGGTCCTCTTCCTGTCTCCAGGTGACCACTCTGACCTTGGTGCCTGGTGCAGCCCCTTCCACCCACCCTTCTCTGACCCGCCACCCAGCTCCTCCTGCCCACAACCTCCCTGAGCCTCCGCCTTCCTCCTCCCCCAGGAGGCCTGCCTGTGTTCCCACAGCCTGGGCCTGCCCTGCCCTCTCACTGGAGGAGCTCATGCAGTTCTTGGAAGAAGGTTTCACAGCCTGGAGAGGCCCAGGCCTGTCTGGGGCCTGTCCACTTTTTCAGTGCTGCAGCCCCAGGGCCTGGACACAGCGGGGCGTCCGTGAACACTGCCGAGGCACAGAGGGGCACCCCCAACACCACAGCACCTCTCTGATGGCCACTCGTAGCTGTCCCTCTGTAATTTTCCCCCCAGCCCTGCCCAGGGTCACCCTCCAGGTAGCTTTGCAGCCATAACCCCTCTTGCAGGACCAAGGACACTTCTGCCAGACCTGACGGGGCTCCAGGGAGGGCCACATCCAGCTGGACAGATAAGATGTGTGAACCAGTCTGCTGTGAGATAAGACTGAGTGAGGCCTTTCCCTTTTCCCCACCTCCTGAGGGAAGCAGAGTCCTGCTCCCATGCCCACCATGTCTCCTCTCCCTGTGGGGGGATGGCTGGACCAGGGGCTGGTGTGAGAATCATAAGCAGTGCTCATGCTCAAGGGCACCTCTGACGGCTGTCCGAAGCGTTCCCCACCCCTAATGGGTGGAAGAGGATGTGTTCTCTGGCGCTCAGGCCTCTGCCAGGTGGCACTGCCCGTTCCTGGGCTCAGACCCAGTTCTGTCCCTGGCTGCCTCAGTGCAGCCCTGGCCACAGGCCTCAGGGTCACCGCTGGCAGGCTTTGCTACCTGCTGGCCACCAGCCCAGGGCCCCGGCTGTTGAGGATGGCACCAGGGACCCCGTGCGTCAGACCACCTCCCACGGTCCCACATGGGCAGCAACTGTTTCCATGGTATTCCGGGGGAAGGGGCTTGGGGCCACTTCTCTTGGGACCGTGTGGGCCTCAGTCTCCCCCTGGGTCCCTCCTCAGCACTGAAGTACTGGGCACAGTCCAAGAGATCAGGTTTCATGCCTCAGCTGTGAAGGATATTTGTATCACATTTCATTTGTATCATTTTAAATTTTTTTGTTATAATTGTAAAATTATACATAAAGAAGCACTTTTCATTTGTATCATTTAAACATTTTTGTGACAGTTATCATCATTCCACAGACCACACCTGCTAAGTCCTTGATGTCGACCTCTGTCAACCATGGAGCCTACAGGCTGCTAGCCTGACCGGGGTGGGCTTGTACAAACAGGCCCCTCTCCCAGACCCAGCCTCACCCCAGGACCTGAGCCTGGGGTTCACGCAGCGGGGCAGGATCCAGGCCACGGGATGGAGTTGTATGACCTACATGTGTTTGTGTTATTAGCTCCAGAGCTGGCAGGCGGAGGCAGTGACACAATTCGAGGAACTGTTGACTCGGCTCAGGGCCCTCCCCACGCCTGCTGCTGTGAGAGCCAGAGGAGACGCATGAGGACTGCACGTCCCCACAGGGCACTGCTGATGTCAGTGCGCCGGGGGCCTCCCATGGGCCCCTGGGTGGCCCTGGGTGAGCTGCCTGGTCTCTGGCATCCTCCCGTACCCACTTGTGCAGTCCCAGCTTCTGAGGTCCTGGCCTCCCCTGCTCCTCCCGTGCTCCCTCCCCTCCCCACCCCTCACTGAATACAGCCAGCCAGGGAAGGTGATGGGGTGGGGCAGCAGTCACCCTGCCTGTTTGGTAAGCTGGGAACAATGACCCCCAAGGTAAGGAAGCAAGTTCCCCCTCTTTGCAGCCTTCCTCATAGATTCCTACCTCCTCTGTGGTTGGTGCCTGCAGGTGACAGCATAAGGATAAGCTGGGGAGAGCTCGGGCCTTGGCCAGGTGCCCCAGACTGCGGCTCCAGGAAAGGACCAGGGCTCCTGGCGAGGTGCCCAGTTCTGACCCACAGGTGGGGGGATCTTGAAGCCAGATCCCTGTCACACGGGAATATCAGGCCTGTCCTGAGGACTAGGCACATGAGATGAGGTATGTGGAAGATCTTTACAAGCCTGGAAGTGCCCCACAAGGTTAGCTGTGGTGTTGGTTTTGGTCCTGTAACTTTCCTGAGATAGGACAAAGGGCCTGTGGCCACATTGAACTCTGTAACAAGGGCTGAGACAGACATCAGTGTCAACAGGAACCAGGAGTTACGGAATTTAGTAGAAGGTGCCAGGTGCTGGGCTTGGGGTCTAACTCTAGGCTGCCTGGGGAGGGCAACAAGGACACCCTTGCCTTCAAGGCACAAATAATAGTGTTGGAGAGGACAGGCTCCCCAAAGAAGGGTCTCACACTGTGTCTGCCTGAGCCCTTGGGCCCCTGTGTGGGGAGGGGACGGGGTAGAGGGGGCCACCAGGCATTTCCATTGCCCACTAAACAAAACAGTTCCCTTTTGTTTAGTGAGTGCAGTTGGAACTTTGACTGGAAAAGAGGTTCCACTACAAAAATGAATATTGAAAAACCAGAGACCTCATCTAACCCCACAGTTTCACCAGTGAGGAAACTGAGGCCCAGAAAAGAGAAGTGGTTCATCTAAGGCTGCCCAGCTCAGCTGTGTCAGAGCTCCTGCCTAGGCTACTCACCCCTGGTCTGCGAAAAAAGAGCCAACACCCCGAGGATGAGGAGGACAAAGGCAAAGCGGGGTGCTGCCATGAAGGTCTGGGCCTCGGCCACAGCAACTTTGACATGACCCCCGAGGTGAGGCCTTAGGAGCCTTGTTGAGCAGATGCTGATCTGGGATGGAGAGGAGGGCAAGGCCTCCTCTGCCCACGTCTCTGACCAACTGAGAGCTCTGCGGGTGGTCAGCCCCCGAAAGCCCTCTCCAACTAATCAACCACCCCACCCGCTGCTTTCCAGCCTGCCACCCGCTTCTCCAGGCATTGTCTCACAGTCCTCACTACAAGTAATTGAGGTAGGCAGACAGGCGCCCCTCTGCCCATTTTACAGTTAAGTGAACTGAGGCACCGGCAGTAAGTGGGCCTGAAACTGAGCCTCCCTGATGTAAGAGTTGTCCTCTCATCACAATTTTCTGCTCTTTTCAATGCCTTTCCTCAGCTATTCCTCCTCCCCACAACATAGGCTCTGCTCTCCCTTCACCCAACTCTGTGCTGACTGGCCCAACCTTGCCCTCACTGGCTTTAGCAAGGAGAGTTGCCCCAACCAGGGTCTTCCCGGGTCTCTCAGTCCACAGAGAGCTCCCAGCCTTTCACACAGCCTGGGCCCAGTCCCTCCCCTAGGAGGTGAACTTCTGTTTATGGTCTCTTGACTGCAGAACAGGCTCGGGCCAAGAACTTGGTCCTTCAGCCATGACTGTGTGGGACTAGGCCAGGACATCCAAACAAGCTCCTGACACCTGCCCTTTCCCTAAGATACAGCCCACATTTCAGTGCCAGGGTAACCAACCATCTCAGCTTACCCAGAACTCTCCTGTTTGGCACTCAAGTCCCCAGGAAGTTTCTCATACCTGGGCAAGCTGGGACAACTGGTCACCCTACTCAGCATACACATACCTAGGGTCTTCATGCCTTCCCCTGCCTCCACTGAGCAGGGTCTTTCTTCTTCCTATTCCCCTGGTCCCCACTGAGGCCAGTGAGTGGTCAGTCCACTCAATCTATCTGGCCCCCTCAGACTTGGCTGGGGCCTAGCCCAGGCCCAGGGTAGAGTTAAAGGCCCAGAGTCTGCTAAGGTGAGCAGAGGGTCTACAACCTATTGGGGGCAGCCTACCCTAGGCCCGGTGAGAGAAATAGCAGAGGGTGCCCACAAAAAGCCTAGTGGGATCCTGGGCTTTGATCTCAACCCACCTTTATCTTCAAGGCTGGGAAACAGGTCACTCGGTGACCCAGGTGGGGGAGCCCTAGAGCTGGAGCCAGGCAGGGCTGCCTAGGGCTCACCGAGACAGCTTCTACCTGTCTGGGCTTGAGGTGAGTCATTTCCTCCCCGAGCTGGTATGATGCTGGGAGGGGAAAGGAGGGGATAGTATCTAAAAATAGTAAGGCCCAGCCTTGGAGATACCCAAAGAGCTTCTCCTTGGGCAAGGGAGGAGCCAGCTTCTCACCAGAGCTGACAGCAGCTGTGACCTCAGCCAGCTGCCTGCATCTGGCCAAGGAGAAGGGAGCCACCCCCCCCACCCCTTCCCAGGCTCAGTGTAGAGTGCTGAGGTGTGGAGGAGGCATCTGGAGGGCTGAGGCACAAGTAGCGTTGGGGTGGAGTGGGAGCTTGTACAAGGCCTCAAGCAGACACGGCCTGGAAAGGGGAGGGTGAGTCCGTGATTCGGAAGGCTGGGCCCTGGCAGAAACAGCAGGGACTGGATCACCAGCCTGGATTTCCCTCCACCATCATCTCCGCAGAACCCGGATCACTCCCCACCCCTACCCACACAGAGAGACACACACGCAGACACACAGACACAGCCTGCACACTCAGCTGGCCTGTGAGTCACTTCCCTCTAAGAGGACTCATCCCCCTGCTAAGTGGGACTCAATTTCCCAGGTCAGCAGCACAGGCTGAGGACCCACTGTGTGCTTGAGCCACGCCCTGGGAAATAAGGAAGCAATCAGTAATCATGACTGTCCTTGGCCTTGGGGACACTTTAAGAGGCCCATTCAGGAAAGGGCAGCACAACACCCAGAGAAGAAACACAGGAGGCAGGGAGGGCCCTGAGCGGTGGGACAGTCTGGAGTCAGGGAGGCCTCGGCTCAAATCCTGGCCAGCCATTTCCTAGCCATGTGACCTGAGACGAGTTACTTGTCATTTCCCTGTCTCAACTTTCTCATCTGTACAATGGATGACATATAAGGCCTTCCTCACATGTCAAATACAATATTGCCTATAAAGTCTCCAAGCAAACAAACCTCTTTCCATTAAAGCTCATGGTGTGAGGCTATCAACTTAAAAAAACAATAAGGCACTGTAGGTTTCAGTACACATTTGTAGCCCAAAGACCCAAGATGGTAACATCCTGCTTGGCCCCACTCGTGACAGGTTAAGGTGAGCAGTGGCGTAAAACTGCATTTTACAACAACAGCAATGGCCACTATTATGAACACTTCATAGTTACCTCATTTTCTTTAAAAAAAAAAAAAATATTCATTTGGCTGTGTCAAGTCTTAGTTGTGGTATATGGGCTCTTCGTTGCAGGCGCTCAGGGTTCTCCGTGTCTCCAGGCCTCCAGAGCACGCAGGCTCAGTGGTTGTGAACGGGGTGCTGAGCTGCCCTGCAGCATGTGGGATCTTAGTTCCTCAACCAGAGATGGAACCCACGTCCCCTGCATTGGAAGGCAGATTCTTAACCACTGGACCATGAGGGAAGTCCCCCTCATTTTCTCTTGTCCTCAAAACAGCCTCATACAACAGGCATTATTATCCTCATGTTACGTGTGGAAAAATGGAGGCCCAAAGACAGTAAGTAACTTGCCTCACATCATACAGGTAGTATGTGGCAGAGACCATGTTTGGACCCACTCTTGAGTCCAAACTTCTTGTACTTCATAGGGTGTAAGTGGAGGTCTGTTATGTCTGGAGTTGAGTCTGTGACTCTCTGACTTTTGGGGGAAGGGGCCCTTGGACACTAGCCTGGGGTGACTAGACTATGCCTTCTGTCTCAACTCCCTCACCCTGAGCCCCCACCTAGAAACACAGAATGTACTCTGCCCTCTCTCGGGGTTACCTCTTGTACTCCTCACAAGAGCCCCGTGAGGGAAATACCACAACTCCCACTTGACAGAAAAGGCAGACAGATCAAAGGGATCATGAGCCTTTGGCGGCCCGCAGACCTTGGGGAGGCAGAGTCTGCGCCTAGTGTTGGCCCCTCAGGCTCCTAGACGAAGGCTCTGTCCCCGCACCCCGGCTGCACCCCGGCTGTCTGATTTTAAAGGGGAAGGGGCAGGAATGCCTCTGCTCTCTCAGGCTCTTCACACTTTCCCAGAACCGTCCCTGTTCCCTCTTGCTGGATAGCACGTAAAGCCCAAAGCTTGCATCAGTCAGTGGGCCCAGTAAGAGCCTCTTTTCTGTTTTCTGTGGGCTTTCCCCACCGTTATCTGAGTCATCCTCTGCCAGTTCCAGGAGAAGGGAGAGAGGAGGCCTCTTATCCCTACAGTACAGACGGAGAGACTGAGGCAGGAAGTGACTTAACTCCAATGCGTCAGGGGCCAGAGCTGGCAGCAGGCCAGGCCAGGAGGCCACTGGTGAAGCTGGCAGCACCTGGGGTGCCACGCACTTAGTTTTTAATGCTGTAGAGTAAGCACAAATATCAAGAAATGGGTGTTGTGTTGCAGGCCCTGGGTGAAGAGATGAGTGATATTGCAAAAAAGATGAATCTGATACAGGAAATAAAACAGACAAAACCCAGACACCCATCTTGCTCCTGTTACAGACTCCCTGAGCCCAGCCAGGTATGGCTTGTAGCTCAGTTTTCTCCTCTATAAAAATCATCAGGGTTATCCTTTATTGGGTGACTTCTAATGACCACGGGGCTTAACACTTTATAGGCACTATCTTATTTAATTCCTACTACAACACAGTGAGGTTGGTATGTATTAATACTATCATCATCTCCATTGGACAGATGGCTTACCTGAGGCTCAGAGAGGTTAAGCAACTTCCCCAAAGACACAGTGCTTGTTCCAGCAAGTATAGGACAACAAATCTAGGGGCTGACTTAGAACAGCTCTCCAAATACAGCGAGGCAGAGGGGCCTCCGCGCGTGTGACGCCCACGGGGAGCTGCCCAGGTGTGTCTGCGGGTTGGTAACAGGAACTCATGTGTCTGTCAGCGCAGTGCGGGGGGGCGGGGGTGGAAGGACCAGCGAAGAGCAGAACGCCAATCGCCCGGGGCATAAAGAGCCAGGGCGGCCTGGAGGCAAGGGGGATCCGGACACGCTTGTCCGGGCGGGGCGCCTGCGCGCGCCCACCCTGGGCTGGGGCAGAAGCCGACGGCGCCCGCCCTGGAGCCCAGCACAGATGGCTGGGAGAACAGCGGCGCGGGGACAGGCCTTAACTGCCGCGGGCGGGCCCCACCGGCGCCCTCCCCTCCCCCAACCCAGCCGCAGCCCCTGACGGGCCCAGCCGCACGTTCCCCGCGATTGCCTCATCCGACCACAGCGGCTCGCGCCCTCCCGCACGCGTAGCACACAGCGCACCCTCGCACCGGGAGGGCGGGGCCGCCGGGGCTGCCCCCGGCCTTGTCCCTCCCCTTCCCCGGCCCAGACCACGGCCGGACTGAGTCCCCAGCGGCCCATCACCCGGCTGCCCTGCCGGAGCCTCGACCCAGACACCTTTGATGGCTGCCCTTTGCTCCGTCTGGTCCGAGTGGACAGATGAGGGAAATTGAGTAAGCCAGCTTACCAAAGCAGGAAACTCCTGGCCACTTTGTTACGCATGATTTTTCAGCAACTTTTCGGGGGAGGCGGGGCAGGGAGGATTTCTGGAGTGAAGATGACTGAGGACTCAGGCTGTCCTCCGGGGCTGTGAGCACCCTCCCGGCTGGCCTTACAGGCCTGTACCTCCCAGGGCAGGCACAGTGCTTGACACTCGTGGATGTTCCACAAATTCTGAAAATGCATTTCCTCACCCTCTTCCTGTTTTGAGTGGCTGCCAGAAAGAATGCCCAGGTGAAAGGGGGCGGGCTTTAGGGCAGGAGCTGAAAAAGCTGGCTGTTGGGGCTTTAGGTTTTGCCTTTGGCAGTGAGCTTGCTGTTTCTCTTGGGCAAATCCTCGATCTCTCTGGGTCACATTTCTTGGGAACTCAGTAATAAAATAACGTGCTTGGCCCTAACGTTCAGGACAGACTTTGAACTTATAGCAGGAAAATGAACCTTCCATTTAAAGCTGAGATTTCCTCTTGAGCATTAATATTCTCCTGGGTCTTTTAGGCAGGAGCCCACAGTATTCTGTCTAGACTCAGTGACATGTTGAGAGGCTCTGTTGAGAGGATCAAGTCCAAATTCCTTGGCTTTGTATCAAGACTTTCTTACCTGAGTTCCACCCAGCCTATCTAGCCTTACCCCCAACCTCACCCTGCACTATAGCCTTAGGGGCAATTCAGACTTCCCCAAACATACCATACACAGTGTTCATACGATTCTGTCCTTGTTCATGCTGTTCCCTCTGCCCAGAATGCTCTTCCCTACACTCCTCAAATGACTGGCTCCTGGCATAGATCTCCATTGAAATGTCACCACCCTAGTGGTGACAGAGGTCTTTTCTGAGTGTCCAGGAAAGCAGGGGCTCTCTGGCTCTGTTATTCCCTCTAAGCTTCCTTCCCTCCTCGGCTCTTATTGCACCTTGGGATTAGAAGTTGGTCTCTCCACCTGACTGAAAGATCTATGATTGAGAGACCATGTACATTTTCTTCATCTCTATATATCCAGCACTTACCAAGATGCTTGGCACATAGTAAGAGGTTAAAAAATATTTGTGTGAAGGAAGAAAGGGTGGATGATTGATTAGCAAAAACACTGAGAACAACCTACATGTCCATCAGTAAGGGATTGCTGTTGTAAATGATGGCATGGTGGGATACTATGCAGCCATTAGATGGATATAAACCCACATGGAAAAATGTTCCTGGTGCCTCGAGAAGTAAAGAAAGGAAGTTGGTTCCTTTCTAATTAAAAATGTCAGAGCATGACATTTTTAAAATGTCAGGAGCATGTATATAGATAAAGTCACAGATATGTCTGTAAACATAAGAAAAAGTCGACAGCATACATCAACCTAAATACCCTTGAGGAGCAGGATACAGACATTGTCACGGTTTATTTTCTATCTAATACCTTGCTTAGACATCATCTCCTCTGAGAACCCTTCTGATGCTGCCTTTGTGTTGGAGGAGCTGCCTCAGAGCGTGCAGCCAGGTGCTCCAAAGCAAGGCCTTGGTGTTCCTTCCTCAGAGGCCATTGAGTGCGTGCAGGCAGCTGGGACAGGGGACAGCAGCTCCCCTGGGTGCGTGAGTTTGTCACGCAGATGCAGGGGAAAGCAGAGCTGCTGAGGACAAACAGCAGACTATCTCTACCTGCCAGGTTACATTGTTGCGGGTGGCCTTGGGCTATCAGAAGAATTCCAAAATGTGACAGGAAGCCTGGCCTTGTGCAAGTCTGGACCCAGCTGGCTCAATTCCAGATTTGAGACAGTCAGCTTCGGCTGTGGGAGGTGCACAGGGCGACTCCTCACTGCCCACTGGGTGCCTCAGAGTGGAGAGGGGCGAGATGCAGCTTGGTGAAAACAGGCCGCCTGCAGCCTGCGCGCTTGTCTCTGCCCCACAGTGTCTGCCCCATGAGGCCTGGGACCTCACAGTTCAGACCAACAGGGCCAGGGGAGAGGAAGGAAGAGCGGCCAAGGGCTCGGGGTCAGATGTCTGAGTTTCTATTCCCACGGGTGCTTCTCATTATGCTTGTCAGGAAACGGAAAAGAGCGCAGACCTTCGCCTTCACTTTGTTTCAGATCTCAACCCGGTCTCTCTTCCCCTTGCCTGTCTCAGAAAAGATTTCCCATCTGGAAAATCACGGGGTGGTGCAGGCGTGGACCCTCCATCTGGAGTCACCTAGTTTCCAGTGGTTACATGTTCACACCTACCAACCCTGTGACCCTGGACAAATGGCTTTGTCCCCTGTGCCTCAGTTTCCCTACTAAATTAGATAACGCCTGGGAAGTGTTTACAAATGGGCCTCATACGTGCAGGAGTATCTGTTACTATTTGTGTAAGCTGTCTTCCACAAAAACAAATTGTCTATCTGTCTGGGGTAATAACAATACTTATTTCACTGAGCTGTTGTTAGGATTAAGTTGGATAATGCGTGTCAGGTGCTTGATGTGTTAAGCATTTACTTGTTTTACTAAAGATAATAAGATGGGAATACAGATCCCTGTCCCAGGGATGCCGGGAGTGGGGTGGGGGGATTAGCATGGTGTCTGCTAGTGACATCCCGGGAATGGCGTGCAGGGCCTCTGGTGGCCCAGGCAGTCATGTTGGTTCAATGGTGTTGTTACTCTGCTGGGTCTTGCTGAGTTGTCTGGTTAGTCAACTGCCTGTTCCCTCAGACCCATTTAAACCAGCTCCATCTGGCCTAACTTTCCCAACACACCATCCTGGCAGCTGTCACAGGCCCAGAGCACTGGGCAAAGTGTCAGGCCTGCTGCAAAATATGTTGGAACTTTATCTGACCCCTGGCTCCTGTCCCATCCAGAAATACATTGGCTGAAACTTGCAGCCAAGCTCAAACAAGCCTGGGTGTTGGAGGGGGAAGGCGGTTCTGAATCACAAACCAGCCATTCCCCACACCCTCCATCTTTGTTGGCCCCCTTTTTATTTGCACGGTTCTACCGATTAATGCTGTTCCTAGTTATGAAACAGTTTTTAAAACCAAAGGTTTAATCCTGAGCCCTGGATTTGCAGATAAGGGGAAGAGGACTGTCCCCCCAAACTCAGGGAAGTTCATTGCAGAATTTTCCTCTTTTTCTTCTTTCATTGTTGATTTGCGGTCACCTTTCTGGAGGCTAGGATGATCCTCTAGGCCGCTGTCTGGAAATCCCCAGAAAGAGGCTGTGACAATGGCAGTGCTGGCAACCACGCTGGACTGGCACCTGGCCAGCTTTGGAGAGGGTGGTGCTAAGTCTGGGAGTCTCCACCCCAGTCAAGGTCAGGTGGAGCCTGCGTCCCTGCACCCCCACCCAGTCTTTGCGACTCCCCGCAGGGGCGTCCCAGGCAAGTGAGCAAGCGCCCAGGCCAGCCAGCAGGTCTTCATTCAGGTACTCCTAAGGCTAAGAATAAGTCTTAGAATTAGTCTTAGTCCTAGAATTCTAAGTCTTAGAATAAAAGGAATTCGAGGAGCACCCCACCCCAACTATGCATTTGGGCTTTCAGAGAGTTGGCTCACTAGAGAAAGGAAATGAGGAAAGGGAACATCAGTGTGGTGTGGATCAAAGAGTTCTAGATGTTAGTTTAATTTTCAAGACCTCCAAAATTTCCCATTACACAAGTCATACTGTCAAGACCTTAAACTTCACAGATTTGAAATTCATCAGATTCAGAATTTTTGAAAAATCAGCCTTGTCAAATTTGAGTATGGACTGAATATGAGATGATATTATGGAGCAATTGATTTTCTCAATGTGCTTATATAGGAGAACAGCCTGTTCCTAGGAAAAGTGAAAATCACTCAGTCATGTCCTGTTTGCGATCCCATGGACTGAAGCCCGCCAGGCTCCTTTGTCCATGGAATTCTCCAGGCAAGAATACTGGAGGGGGTAGCCATTCCCTTCTCCAGGGTATCTTCCCAACCCAGGGACCGAACCCAGATCTACCCACATTGCAGGCAGATTCTTTACCCTCTGAGCCACCAGGGGAGCCCAGGAATACTGGAGTTGGTAGCCTATCCCTTCTCCCCCAGATCTTCCCAACCCAGAAATCGAACTGGTGTCTCCTGCATTGCAGGCAGATTCTTTACCAGCTGAGCTACCAGGGAAGCCCTCATTCCTAGGAAATTCATGCTTAAATATTTTCGGGCTAAAATATCATGATGCCAGCAACTTCTTTTCAAGTGGTTCAGCAAAAAAACTTGCTACAGATAAAGCAAATGCTGCAAAAGTTTAATAATCGTTGCATTTAACTGGAAGGTACGTAGGTGTTTATTGTGCCATTCTTGCAGGATTTCTATTTGTGTGAAGACTTTCTCCCTAATATCTTAAAGGGAAACAATTTAAATAAAATAAGCTATCCACGTGCAAAACAAGAAGTAATTCAGCCTGCTCTAGCTGAATTTTACCTCTTCTCTGAGAACAGAAATAGTAGAAACAAGATGGCGTCCAGGATTGCAGAGTTGAGCCAACCAAAGAGAACCAATTATTTTTAAAGAGTTTATTAAGTACTCATCTGGAAATAGTACTGGTCGTTAAAAATCCTTTTAGTTCATGGCCAGTGGAGGACTCATTTTGGAAAATGGGAGATTTCAGCCCTTTTAGCTTATTGGCACCAGATTTAACACAAATCAGGAAACACATTTTGAAGACTTGCTATGAGCATGGCCCTGAAACATCACCAGAGGTGTTTTTCCCCTGCCTACAGTCTGATACTGCATGCAGGGTAGCCATAATTTTTCAATGTGGTTTTTATGGGTTGAATTGTGTCCCCCACTTTCCTATGTTGAAGTCTTCATCCTCAGTACCTCAGAATGTGAACTTATTCAAGAATAGGATCATTACAGATGTCTTTAGTTAAGATGAGGTCAACAGGGTGGACTCTA